CTGGTGACTTTCCCCCCCCTTTTTTCACTTTTTTAAACTTTATGCTTTCTTATTTTCTACCGTCATTTTCTCTTCATTTTTATTTGGCCTTTTTTGCTACTTCCGATTTTTCTGTTTCATTTTCCATCTTTACGGTATTTAATTTCTCTTGACGCATTTTCTACTTTCGCTTTTTCTCATCTTCCCGCATTATTTATATCTCTTAGGTTCCTCTTCTTCAATTTTCTGTTTCTTCGCTTATTACCATATCTGTTCGAATATTGATTTACTCAAGATATACATTAATGGACCCTGAATTTCACAGACATTAATGTACACACATACAATTACACGATTCACTGCAATATACGTTTATTTTACTTAGGAGAGATATGGCTTGTTCGGACGTTTGCACACGGCCCGCACGCACACGTCCAAAGAAATACATACACATATATAAGCCACTCTTTATATCTTTCTCTTCCTCTCTACGTCTCTCAATCTCCTTCATTCCATCTCTTCCCCCTTCTGTTTGTCTGTTTTTCTTACTCTGACTGTATGTCTCTTTCTTCCTTCCCATGTCTTCATCTTTTTCTCGGCCTCTGTATGTCCATCTCTTCCTTTCCATGTCTCTATCTCTCGTTCGTTCTCTTTCGTTGATCCGTATTTAATGTGCGTGTGTATGTGTCAGCATTTTTTTCACTGTATTGTGTACCTGTTCTCAGGTGTACTCTCCTAGGGGGAGGTGGGGGGGGGGGGATTCGGTTAAAAGACTGCTCTTTTACGCTTGTGAAATGTAGAAAATGTTGACGATGAACCATGATAGAGAAACAAGATGAAAAGAGAGAAAATGAGAACAAATTACGGGTAAATGAATCGATTCTGATAGACAAGTAGATATAGATGGGTTGGGAAATAAAAGAGAAGAAAATACAATAACTGCAACTGATGAATAAATGTATATATATCATATAAATGTATATATATCATATATATATATATATATATATATATATATATATATATATATATATATATATGTGTGTGTGTGTGTGTGTGTGTGTGTGTGTGTGTGTGTGTGTGTGTGTGTGTGTGTGTGTGTGTGTGTGTGTGTGTGTGTGTGTGTGTGTGTGTGTGTGTGTGTATGTGTGTGTATATATGTGTATATATATGTATGTATAGAATATATCATATATATATATATATATATATATATATATATATATATATATATATATATATATATATTACTGCCTCCAATAAAACACTAGCAGTCAGTTAAACCTTTATTGTCATGTTCACAAGCTGGTAGGTATGAGCAGTGTATCCAACTTGCAAGATGACAATACATACGCGTGAACGTACGCGGCGTGATTGATTTCTAGCCCAAATCTTCATAAAACAAGAATAATTTAAAAGTACGCAGCACAAGACGTCTCACGTGGCTCTCTAGAGGGGCTCCGCGGATTCACAACAATGCGTTTTTGTAGGGCGTTCGTACAACTCTAACGTCACTGTAGCCAACGTTACAAACTAAATGAAATTAAATAATCATTCTCATGTTAATACATTAAATCAAATAAATTCTTGATCTAAATTCTATATATATAATATCAGACAAGGAATCCTTGATTCCTTTACACTCCCTGCCTGATATCAACAAATTTGATATCACTACTCTAATACTGATTAAATGACAAATAGGAACTGAAATGTGACTTGTTCAAATAAAAAATAGCTACTTAGCACCAGAAACCAAAAGAATTAACTCTGAAATTGGTCTTGTGTACACAACTGGCTTTCCATCTCTCATAACCTTTAACTCCACTTTCCTTACTTTGCCATCTTCACTTTGGATAGCTCTTACAACAATTCCATATGGCCATTGTGTACGACAAACACTTCTGTCTTTCAATAACACAACATCACCTTCAGTGAGACTAGGTTTTGCACAACACCATTTTCTACGTTCTTGGAGTGTGTACAGATATTCTTTCTTCCAACGATTCCAAAATATTTCTGAGAGGGCAGAAACACGTTTCCATTCTGTTTTCAAAAGGTCTTTTGTATCAATTTCTCCTACTGAATCTACATGGTCTATTCCAACTTTCTGAGTAAGAATGGTGGCAGGTGACAAGATGAAAGGGTTTTCTGGATCAGTTGATACGTTTACTATTGGTCGATTGTTCACTATGGCACATACTTCTGCCATGAAGGTTGATAACACTTCATGCGTCAAAGTTTTATAAGGAGTTTCAGCTAGCATTGACTCTAAGATCTTCCGGCAGATTCGAATGAGGCGTTCCCATACACCTCCCATGTGCGATGAATGGGGAGCGTTGAAGATCCATTTAGTGCCTGTTTGGTACAGATGGTCTACTATCTTCTTTTCTTCCACATTTACTGCATCTATCTTGAGGCTATCAGTTGCACCAACAAAGTTGGTTCCTCGGTCAGATCTATACAGTTTAACTTTACCTCTGAGAGCTTCAAATCTTTTAAGTGCATTAATAAAAGCTGAAGAGGACATTTCTTCTACCAACTCAATGTGTATTGCTCTTGTTGTAAGACAAGTGAACAAAATAGCCCCCGTTTAGAATTTGCTGATCCACCACGAGTTCTGCGTGTCATTATAGTCCAAGGTCCAAAAGCATCAACTCCAACATTGGTAAAGGGTGGAGTATGTTCTAAGCGATCTGCTGGTAGATCACTCATCAACTGGACTTCTTCTTTACCTCGTAACTTTCTACACTGGACACAGGAGTGTAAGATTGATGAGATCAACCGTTTCACGCCTGTAATCCAATATCCACCAGATCTAACAGCTCCTTCTGTAAGATGACGTCCTTGGTGTCGAACACTTTGGTGATAGTGACGTACTATAAGTGTAGAAATATGACTTTTAGGCAAAATGATTGGATGTTTCTGGTAACTTCCAAGACTTGATTGTTGCAATCTTCCGCCAACCCTTAACACACCATCTTCATCTAAGTACGGGTTGAGAGCCATAATCGAGCTAGATTTTGGAAGATGCATTTTTGCTTCAAGAAGTCTAATTTCTTCTTTGTAAGTTTCTTTTGAACTGCTTTGATCACAAATATTTCAGCTTTTCTGAAAGACTCTACACTTCTATCAGCTCTACCTTTAAATGATTTGGCACATGCACATCTCTGCAATAAAGCAACAGTATTTACTAGGCGATACCACTCAGAGAACCTTTCAAATCTGTGACACCCAATTGATAAAATTGTCAATCACACAGGTTTTAGCTGCCTTTACCAGAGCATCTGGCCTTACTTCCTTATCATCTTCGGTTGAACTAGCTGTGAGTTTCTTGAGCAAGATCATGACGCCTACTCAAGGAATGTTTCAGGTCCTTTCAGCCATATGTCATTACACGAGAAATCATTCACCATAGAGCGAGTTGCTCGATCAGCTGGATTCACAGATGTAGGAACATAATTCCATTGCTCTGGCTTAGTTGACCTGTGAATACGGTTCACTCTATTTCTTTTGAACACGTAGAAGTACACCCAACAGAGAATTATTTAGGTCAGGACCTGTCATCAACACATCATTCAATGATGTACCTCTAAACTTAGCAGCAGAGTCAAAAACACACCTGATACGACTAGGTTTCTTTGGATGATACACTCCAAACACTGGAAGATACCAACATTCTTCATTTTCTTTCAAAGGTGGTGCTATTTCAGCATGACCTCTTTCCAAAAGCTTTTTCATAAAGTCTAGGAAATGTTCTCTTTTAACAGAATTGAACTGAAGACTCTTGGCTAGGCTATTGGCACGTCTCACAGCCATGGATTTATTGTTCGGTAATCTTTTCTTTAAGGGCTTAAAAGGTAAAGGTGCACTCCAGTTACCTGCTGGTTCTTTGACAAATTCTTTCTCCATTAACTTCAAGAACATTTTGTCTTCTGTGGATTTTCCAGGTTCGTCATCATTTTTGGTTCGGTGAAACACTGTAGAACCAATATCATTTTCCTTCCATGGTGTAAAACCGCTGTGATATCCTGTGTCTTCTTGTACACATATACAACTTGGACAAGGCTTCAAGACTGATGGACGACCATCAGGATTTACATATATTTTCCTTACATTCACATTCTTTGTTGCGTGATGCTTCCCCAGGCAGACTTCACCTATAATTACCCAGCCTAACTTCATCTTCTGGGCAAAGGGTGTACCTGGTGGACCTGTTACTTGATCTAGTACATGGTGAGCTTCGGGTAGATCTCTACCAATCAATAATTGAATCTGAGCCTGATCATCAAGAGGTGAAATTTCTGAACCAATGTCTTTGAGGTGTGGATGAAGTCGAGCAATGTTGGGAGTTGGAATCTCAGTCCTATTATTAGGAAGTTCATCACATTCGATGACTGTAGGAAGGCTCATCTGTAGACTACCATCAACAGCTTGTATGCATAGTCCACCAGCTTTCCTTCCTGTCATAACTGAACGGCCAGAGCAACTAGTTATGATGTATTCCTCTGCCACAGAGCGAACATCAAAGAAATCTAAAAGCTCTCCTTTAGCTAAAGATTTGTTACTCTGATCATCTAATATAACATATGACTTCATACGCTTCCTCGGGTTACTCTCATGAAAAACGTAAACTGGCAAAATTTTAGCACAAGACTTTCCAGGAAATTCCTCACATACACCAGTACTCTTGTTGGTCACATCTAAAGCTTGTTCACGTACTGACTCTTTAACAACACTCTGCTCCGGCTTCTCCTGCCATGAGCCTTAGTACTTGTCTCAGGAACAGACTGAAATTTCTTCAAATGCATAGCAGTGCAATGGTATTTACTTCCACAGTCTTTACAGGTTATGTCCTCTGGACAATCTCTACTTAAGTGGTTCTTCGAGATGCAACACTTAAAACATATTCTATTTTCTTTCAGAAGTTTCTTGCGTTCTTCTAAAGACTTTGACTTAAAGCTTTTACATTCATGTAGAGAATGGTTGGTCCCATGTATTACATTTAAGGGCTTCTTCATCAGGCACTACAGTCTTCTTTGTAGTACTTTAAATTTATCTAGCTTTGAAGTCTTGTCTGTATGAGATTTTACTTCTGGCTCAAAATTAAATCCTGGATCATTATGGATTTGTGCAACGTCAGAAATGAAGTCTACAAAATAAGAAAAGGGTGGGAATAACACACCTTGTGTTTTCTTGTAGTTGGATGCTTTGTCTCGCCATTTTCCTTGTACTGAAGGAGGTAACTTGCTTATCACAGGGTTTATTCCTGCAGATGTGTCAAAGTGTCCAAACAGTTTCTCGTAAAGTGGATTTTCTTTAAGCGACTGTACTTCGCAAAAGATCATGCAGATCATACAGTTTCTTGGGATCTCTGAACGTAACCTTAGGAAACTTTTCTAGTTTCTTCTTGATAGATGCTTCAATAATCTCAGGACTGCCATATCTATCTTCAAGCCTCTTCCATATCAACTTGATGCACTTACTTGGATCATGTATATTGGAAGTCCTTATACTCTGTGCAAATTTGGACGACTCAGGGCCCAGCCACCGGAGTAAAAGGTCAACTTCTTCCAAAGACGTAACATGCAGATCTTGAATGGTCTGCTGAAAAGTAGTTTTCCAAGGCACATAAGACTCAGGACGATCATCAAATGGACTGAAACGTGCCAGGGAAAGTTCCTTCTTCAAAAGGAAACGCGACAATTCTCCACAACAACTGTTACTCACAGGATTAGCCTTGGCATCACTGGGCTGACTACGAAGAGGTTGTATGACAGGCATAGCTTGTTCCAAAGAAGGGTTGAGATCAAATTCTGGTACCTTGTTCTGATCTTCCACGTACTGCTTGACACGACTTAAAGAATCTGCTGCCTCTTGCTGCAGGAGTTCTTGTGAAAGAACTTTCTGTTGTAACTGTACACCAGGTATTCTACCTGAAATAGATGACAACTTATCACTACTTTCTTCACACACTACTCTGTACTCAACTTCAGCCAACTGAGCATTGCGACGAGACACATAATTCTAATTCTGCTTCAATTTCTGCCTCCTCACACTGTAACTTTGCTTTTCTTTTCTTTATTTCTGCCTCTTTCAATGCACTTTCAAGCTTAACCTTTTGTGGCTTCAGCTTGTATTCTTTTACTTAACAACATAGCTGAGACACTTTCTGCAACTGATTTAGCACTTAATTTCTCCGAGCACTCAGACTTAACTTCTTCAACTGCATATCTTTTATCAAGATATTCTAACTCTTTCTTTATATCACGTATGATCACATCACTTTTTGCTTTGTACTTCATATAATCTTTCCTGCTTTCTTCCGTATTTGTTCTACTCAAACTCTAAAAACTGATTTACACACCTTGAATAAGAATCTAAGTTTTTTCAAGAGCTTTCTTATATTCACTATCACTTTCTGCGGCTGCACCGCCTTTGTAATACCTTAACATTAGGTCTTCAACTGTACACTGCACTTGAGAGAGCTGATCCAAATATTTGGTTGTTGTGGAAATGTACAGTTCTTCTCCTTTTTCTGTAAGGGTCCTTATTCTTGCTCCAGACGGTCTTGTTTCATCTGGGTCTAACTGTGGGTGGGGTTCCTGCTGTGGATCCTCCTCCGCTTCCATTTTAATGTGAACGTCTGCGTTGCTTGTAGTCGACATGCTGAACAATTCTCCTGAAGTTATTCGGCAAGATGCTGAGAGAGACTTTCCTTTGTTGATAGTTGTATAACTCTTCACTCAACAGAAGGCTGACTCTTTTCACTCAGCTTGTTAGATATCTCACTCTTCTCACTCTGGGCATAGAAGATGGCTGGCAACTATTTTCACAATAGGCTTGGAAGATGGCTAGCTACTCTTTGCACTGTAGCCTTAGAAGAAGGGCTAGCAACTCTTTTCACTGTAGCCTTAGAAGGGATAGCAACTCTTTTCACTGTAGCCTTAGAAGAAGGGCCAGCAACTCTTTTCACTGTACTGCCTCCAGTAAAACACTAGCAGTCAGTTAAACCTTTATTGTCATGTTCACAAGCTGGTAGGTATGAGCAGTGTATCCAACTTGCAAGATGACAACATACACGTACGCGTGAACGTGCACGTGATTGTGAGGTGAAAAGAGTGTGGCTAGCCCAAATCTTCATAAAACAAGAATAATTTAAAAGTACGCAGCACAAGACGTCTCACGTGGCTCTCTAGAGGGGCTCCGCGGATTCACAACAATGCGTTTTTGTAGGGCGTTCGTACAACTCTAACGTCACTGTAGCCAACGTTACAAACTAAATGAAATTAAATAATCATTCTCATGTTAATACATTAAATCAAATAAATTCTTGATCTAAATTCTATATATATAATATCAGACAAGGAATCCTCGATTCCTTTACAATATATATGTATATATATATATGTATGTATGTATAGCATATATATATATATATAATATATAATATATATATATATATATATATATCCTCCCATCTCTCTGTCTCATACATGCGTGTATGTATGTATATAGATATTCATATATATATATATGCACACACACACACACACACACACACACACACACACACACACACACACACACACACACACACACACACACACACACACTCACTCACATGCACACGCACATGCACAAGCACACACACACATTTTATATATACATGTATATTTGTGTGTGTGTGTGCATATATATACTAATAAACACACATACATACACATGCACACGCATACACACACACACACACACACACACACATACACACACACACACACACACACATACACACACACACACACACACACACACACACACACACACATACACACATACACACACACACACACTCACACACATATATATATATATTGTAAGGTGGTCTTGGATGCTGCATCTCATCCTCTCCGCTCTCCCGCTCTGACTGCCGTGTTGGAGGATTGTCTCGCATGTCTCACCTCGGTTTTGGGTTGTTTTTTCCTCGGTTTTATTTATTTCTATTTTTTATTTTAGTTTCCCCTTTTTATTATGTGTTTTCTCTGAGCATTTTTATTCATGATTTAACGAGACATTTTTAATGACCCTTTTATCATCAGCTTTTATTAATTTTACTTTTTAACATTCAGTAAAGTTTTAAGGTCTCGTTTTTACTTGTAAGTTGTAGGGGAAGCATCTTTACGTACAGTGTTTATTCGTTCTTTTTAGTTAGTGCATTTCTTTTTCCTATGATTTCTATTTTATACTTTTAGTTTTTTTTTTTTTTTTGCTCATTTTTATGCACATTTTAAGCTTATTTATTACGAGAATATATTTTGTATAAATGTTTGGCCTCTGACGTCACCGTCATATTTACTGTTTACGTTATGTGTCGCCATATTTACTGAACTGAACACAGAGACGATCACGGAACAATATAAGTTAAGTACTGAGTTCCTGATATTCTTTGCATAGGAACTGGACGTGATCCTAAGAACATTTTTATTGAATAATTTGACCACCCTTTTATTTATTTATTTATTTTAAAATGAATTTGGCTGGTTTGTTTCTCTCTGTTTTATTTGTAACGTTTAACATTTCAACGTAGGAAGTCTGAGCGATCTTTTTGTTTTAGTTTTCCTGTTTCGGTGTCACCAGACCTGGAACCTTTCATGCCCTTCCCTGCTATCGGGGCCAAGTTTGTCGCTAACGGGGGGTTAGCGCGCAATAAAAACTATATATTTGCGATGTGGAGAGTGAGAGGAATCCAACGATACCAAAATCGTCGATATCGGTCATGCGAACGTAATATAGAAAATTACCCAAACCAAGACACTTTTCTTCTATGGCAATATTTGTGTAAATGACCCACAAAGGTGTAATAACATAAAACCTAAAAAAAGGGAAAAAAATGCTAATATTTACATAACTGGTAACCTTTTCGTTCGCATATCTTCTCCCAGGCGGCAGCACTCTACACGCGCTATTTTCAAAATGTTGGCCGACATACCGCGCCTAATTTCATTCGTCTCTCTCTCTCTCTCTCTCTCTCTCTCTCTCTCTCTCTCTCTCTCTCTCTATATATATATATATATATATATATATATATATATATATATATATATATATATATATATATATATATATTTATATATATATATATATATATTTATATATATATTTATATATATATATAAATTTATATATATATATTTATATTATATATATATTTATTTATATATATATATATATATATATATATATATATATATATATATATATATATATATATATATATATATATATATATATATATATATATATATATATATATAATATATATATATACACGTATAAAATATATACATAAAATACATGAATAAGGAACATAGTGCTGGGAAATATTCGTATTGGTTTCTCCACAGTAAAATGTCACGCATGAATGTCGCGTCGTGAGGTATAGCTACATTTTTCTTCATATATATAAATATAAATGTAAATTAATATATATATATATATATATATATATATATATATATATATATATATATATATATATATATATATATATACATATATACATACATATATGTGTTTATATATTCACATATAAATAAAATATATGTAATAGCCCTCCTGTACCCCACAAAATGCATACCGAAAGTGTGTCATTGCATGGAAAGGAACATTTATAGTGTACTGTGAAATATAAGGCGATCTGTCGGATATTCATTAATGTAGATCCCAATAAAGAAAATGGTTATGTGATCTAGGTCTGGGTTTGGGAGATGTCATTAATATTAATGATAGTGGTATAAACAAAATATAAATAACAATTATTATAGGCATAACCATTAAGCGTTTACAAGTATTTTATATAAGAAAGGAAATTATTTGGCTGCTGAGATTTTAATGATTGTAATGATTTTCTAAAATCCATTTTCCAAGCCGCTTCTGATGCCATCTGGTTTTAGATAAAGTAAAATATAAACATCAGGCATAGCAGTTGTACATGCATTTCACCTGTGTACTTGTCACTGTT